GCTCTATAAAGAGTTGGATCTTTTAATTCAGGTGATTTCGTATCCACAACCTTATCTAAACCTAGTACCGTTGGGGTCACCTTTGGCTTGCATTCTGCGATGCCAAACCTTAACAGCAATTTCTCAATATATTGCTTTTGGCTCGTTTCAATTGCACCTTCTGAACACTTGAATTCTGTACCTAGGAACCATGACAATACCCCTAGGTCCTTCATTCTAAATTTATTACTTAAATAATCTTTCACACTCTGCAAAAGAATTTCATGGCTAGCAGAAATTTTGAGATCGTCAACCCAAATTATGATAATTGTACATTAATTTGTACCACCATTTCTAATGTAAACACATGGGTCAGCAAGTGATTGAGTGAGGCTCTCCTTCATAACGTAATCATGTAGCATGTTGTTCCAATTGCGTCCACTCTGTTTAAAACCGTACAAAGACTTATTTAATTTGCACACCAACCTCTCACCATTTTCTCCTACCCTTTCGTAGCCTTCTGGCTGTTCTATGAAAATCTCACAGTCTATTGGGCATTTAAATAGGCTGTTTTTACGTCCATCTGATAAACAAGCATATCATTCTGAATTGCCTGCTGTAATAAAACACGACTAGAGCCCATCCGAGCGGTTGGGGAAAAGGTTTTATGGTAGTCAATACTAGGAATCTGGAGTAGCCTTTTGCAACATAACGAGCTTTGTATGTTTCAGCCTTATCTGGTCCTGTCTTAACGGTATACACCCATTTCCCCCCACTACCTCACAACCTTTTGGGGGTGGGACCAACTCGAAAGTTTCATTGCCCTCCAAGGCCTCAATTTCATCATCCATGGCTTTTTCCCATTTCTTTCTTTCAGGAGAATGTACTGCTTGGGAATAGCTAGTTGGAATGTCATGGGTTCTATAGCAATAATCAACTGCACATGTTGCTGCATCATCAACAACCTTACCAGTTACATATTCATTCAAATATGTTGGCTTAGTACGAGTTCGACTAGGGTACCGTACTTCATCATGCACAGTTTCAGTGCCATTTACACTTTCATCCCCTTGTGTTGATATTACACTCTCATTGGCAGTAGGTGCAGACACTTTACTGTGCAGAAATTCCCCTTTCTGTTCGTCAGGATTAACCTTCGATTCATAGTTGCTGTCATTGAAAAATTTCACACACCTTACACGTTCAACCTTATTGGAATCAGGATAAAAGACAAGATATGCAGGACTTCTTTTATCATATCCCACAAATATACCCTGTTTACTTCTAGGATCTAATTTCTTTGCATTTTGCACATATGCGTAACAAACGGAACCAAAGACATGCATATTGCTCAAATCTGGTTTAGACCCTGTAAATGCCTCATAAGGAGTTTTGCCCAATCTCGCATTGAAGCAACGATTTCTGATGTAGGCTGCTGCCATCACAGCATAAGTCCATATGGACTTGGGCAAGTTTGCCTCAAAAGGAGCAGCATTTGCCCAAAAGGAGCAGCATCAGCCAAAAATTGCTGTAATGCTTCTGGGGTATCACTCTTACATTTTAGAAAATAGATCATAATAATCCCTGAATAGTCATCAACGAATGACAAAGCATACTTAAAGCCCACTTTTCCTACAGGATCAATAGGACCAGCCAGCTCACAATGCACAAAATCTAATGGAGCAGTTGCTCTTTCATCTGGGGATCTATTCCTAAATGGGTATATTTTCCTTTAGGGCAAACAGAACACTCTACTTCATCATAATTGGAAATATTCATCCCCTCTACAACATTTTCCAATTTCTGAATATCACCATAATTACAGTGACCAAGAATTTTATGCCATTCAAGCAGAGAACATGCACTATTCACGGGCAATAGGACAGGTGTAGTGTTGTTAAATAAAAAGTTAGAAATGGTATTGTACTTACCCATGTATTATAATTATGTTTAGAAGATCAGAATATTCATAAATTCTTATTTTGTTTCATAAATAGTTCTTTAATATTCGAAACAAATTCCATATCTGCTTCGTCTGCCATCGCCATGTTTACTCGTCCCAATCTACATGCTGCACGGCATTGCCGCCCCTCCTGGCAAAATAATAAGTAAGCGAGAAAAATTAAGGAGAAAATAAGAGGGTAGGAACACTGTGGGCGTTTCGTGGGCGTTTCATCGCTCTGGGCGAATCAGCTTTCTCAATCTTGTATCACATGACTAATTCAAATCGTCATAGGCGGGAAGCAGCATTACACGTCATCCCTACGTCAAATAAAACGTTATAAAACGCGTCGTGGATACGTTTGTGCCATATATGGAAGTTATGGATACGTTTGTGCCATATATGGAAGTGTCACTGCATCCAGCTTATGACAACGATGTTCCTACCCTCTTATTTTCTCCTTAATTTTTCTCGCTTGTTTATTATCTTGCCAGGAGGGGTGGCAATGCCGTGTAGTATGTAGATTGGGGCGAGTAAACATGGCGGCGGCAGACAAAGTAGATGTGGAATTTGTTTCGAATATTAAAGAACTATTTATGAAACAAAATAAGAATTTATGAATATTCTGATCTTCTAAACATAATTATAATACATGGGTAAGTACAATACCATTTCTAACTTTTTATTTAACAACACTACACCTGTCCTATTGCCCGTGCACTATTCTTAGAGGATGAAATACTATTTAAATAATATAACCTACCTCTTTGTTCCATGCATTCCAAACGTTGTGTCATCAGGACATTTGAGCTGTTTCACCTGCTTATCTAAACTAATACTGGCCCCCCTTTCTATCGCAGCATGCACTGAAAAAATATTTTGATCATAGGACGGAACATACAATGCGCTATTTAACATTACGTCACGTGCATTACCATTGACGTCATAAAGTTTAACTTTGGCATTTCCTTTGCCTAATAGTACGTTGGCTTTACTGCCATCAGCGAGTTCTATGACATGCGCACTAGGATTATATTCTTTATCAAAGTCCACAAATTTTGATTTGTCATTTATAATGTGACTTGTGGCTTCTGTATCTACTAATAAACTAGAATTACTCTTATTATTTACACCTGATTTATTAATTGTGTCCTTGGATGTAAAGGCAAACGTATGTTCATTGTTCTCACTTGACGTTGTTTTCTCGGCTGCTGTCTTCGCCGCATCTTTCTTCTTCCGGCAATTCTTTGCCGTCTCGTGGGTTTTACTTTTACTGTTGCTACACCATCTTTCCGATCTCTTCGACCAACACTCCGCGCTTTTATGTCCCTTTCTCCCGCATTTAAAACAGTTCCCATCGAACTTCTGCTTCGTCAACATAATATTCTCCCCCGCGCTCGCAGCCTTCCCACCATGTGTCTTTGCGCTTTCCTCGTGGCTTCGTAGCGCGCTCTTGAAATCGGCGAAAGTCATTTGTTTCTCTCTTTGCACAACTACCGTGGCAAACGTGTCGTATTCCCTCGGTAAACCTTTCAAAACCATTACGATTAACAATGCGTCGCCGATAGCTTCCTCGGCATTTCGTAACGCTGTCGCAAATGACTCGGCTCGTATGACATAATCGAATATTGGCTCGTTCTCGTCTTTCTTTAGCGATGTAAGTTCGGTATAAAGCGAAATTATACGTGGCTTTCCCTTCCCTTGGTAGTGCTGTCTGAGAACTAGCACTTTCCTCCCGTCGTCTCTCGCGTCTCGTACCACTAGCGATAAATTTCTATCGTGCAGACATTGCACGAGTTCAGCAAAAGCATCAGCTCGCGTCGAGGCGTCTGGTGGGTCTTTCTCGCTTGCGTCTCGCACGAATACTTTATATAGCTTTTGTAGCCGCGTATAGCCCAGGAACTTTACTTCCCACAACTCATATTTGCTTTCGTTACCGTCGAATAGCAAGCCTCTTCTGGGCCCAGAACCTGTTGAGTTCGTTGTAATTGTCATTATTATATAATTGTCATTCTTTATTACAAGAGATACACACTCTGTGGAGGCATACAAAAACTAAGTTTTATTTTACATCAAGTGCGTTTATGTTACAATGTGCTAAATTACAATTGGTCAGAATAATTGTTAATCATGCTATATATGGTATTACAGGAAATATATTGTATTCATTGTTTTAATCATATCATTGGTTAACTGAACTAAAATCACAACTAATTACATTATTATTATATGAAGTATTATGAGCATAACTTAACATTATTTATTTAAGATCTATTATTAGCTTATATAAAAGCACCGCCTTTCGAACCTGACAGCCCGTTCGCAGGATACGCGCGGGATTTGAAATAGGGGGCGACAACAATATAAATACGTGACAAGGGATGAAAGTACTATTTAAAAAAAAATGGAAGGAGAAATGGAAGGAAATTTAGGATTTTGGGAAGGAACTTCTACGAAAAAAAAGGACAAAAAAGAGAAATTTTACTTTGCCAAAGTGAAAGCACTGGATGAAACTCTTAAAGTTTGTCGTATTATGAATGCCCCGACTTGAGTGGACCGATAATTATGCAATGAGTGTAGTGTCGAATAACGCCGTCAACATTTAGGAATCAATGATATAAACAAGGAAACAAACACGAATACAATTCAAGGTGAGAAGCCAATTTGTATCGACCGTAACGGTTTCAATGTTTAAAATTAAAAATTAAATACATTCGGTCCAGTCAAGTCGGGGCGTTAATGCTACGAAACGTCGCTATTAAAAACTATAGCATTTTATAAGACTCTAGAGCTTTTATTTCACAAAATTTTTCAATGGCATGTGCATTAGCCTTAGACATATCATGTAGCTGAATTCCAAGCTAAAATTCGTTTTAATAAGCACATACGGCTTCAAAATAAAACATCGCGGTGTTGTAATTTCATCCCTTGTCACATTTCTTATTTCAGTGCAAAATAACGCGTGTATCCTGCGAACGGGCTGTCAGGTTCGAAAGGCAGTGCTTTTATATAAGCTAATAATAGATCTTAAATAAATAAACTGAAAAACATACAAATGCAAATCAACTTATATGTTGTTATTATATGTTCGACTATAGGAGTATTATTATTATATGACTAATAATATACATAAAGATATTACTCGACTGTGATTGGTTGATTTCAGTGCAGTTAATCCCAAACAGCAGTGCAATTTTCTGTAATCACAGTGCAATTTTCTCTAATCACAGTGCAATTTTCTCTAATCACAGTGCAATTTTTTGTAATCACAGTGCAATTTTCTGTATCTCACAGAGGAGGTTGGACAGCTAATTAGCGAGTTGTCACGTGAGCTCTCGACCAATGAGATCGCTCTATTTTCCATCGTGTTATCTGCAGAATTTGGACAGAAAAATTTGCATTCGACGGAAGATAAATCGGAAAAAAATATTAATATTAAAATTTTCTTGCAAAATCTCAAGTGTTGTAGTACTACTACTAAAGATCTGGCGATATCTGCAAAAATCTCTGAGGTAAACTTTATTTTCAATGTTATTTTGATGTTTGAAGTTAGTCGACTCCCCGCGACGTGTTGACTCAAGTCTTAATATGTTTACGATGTTTAAAATGAAATATCTAGAATTCCCATGGTTCGATTTTCTTCGTTTTTGGTAGTCGTCAAGAAAAATATATAAGCTTTAAATCTGCTGGAATGATCCCGGTGATCCCCCGGCAGTTTTCGAGATATTGACCGTTGAAGTGACTACTGTCAACTCGACGTTCGCTAAAATGGCGTCTAATACCGTGGAAAGAATTTACGCCATCAAAGATGATATTTTCAATGAATTTTTGTTAAAGTGCTAAAATATTATTTAGAAGACTTAGGAGTTGTTTTAATATTTTTGTAGAATTTATATCTCTGCGATTTTCAAAGTTTTGTTGTCTTTGGCCGACGCGACTGGATCGTGGACGTATTTCAAGACGAGCTGATCGCCTGATCCTGGGGTTTTTGCATAGATATCTATGGGTTTTTGTGGCAAATCGAGCTGCGGAATCCTCAGCATGGACAAATCAGTGTCATAACAGCCCATTTCAAACCATCAGAGAGCTCCACTTGTTTTAAAGCAATAAAACAAGTTTTTATTGTATTATCATATAATATGTATCATATATAATTAATATAAACAAATTAAGGGAGTGGTCATTATTTATGGGGAGGGGGGTTGGTAAATGGGGAAAATAAGGATTAAAAACTTCGTTGACCCTTCCTCTCCAGACTGAAGGCAAACTTTTTGTGCCTCCCCCCTCTTAAAAGTAGAATCTTTTCTGACCCCTCCCACGAGTGTGGATTGAAAAATTAACAGCAATGAAACAGGCGTGCATTGCAGGTAAAGTTAGACAATCTGTTTAAATCTAGCTCATGATGTTTTACCCTGGTGAATATGATTCAACCGTATATGATTAAAAAATATATATTATGTGTTACTACTGCAATGCAACATTTGTCTTACCATAACCCTAACCCATGGCCCGTCTTCATACAGCGAAATGATTTGAACACAGGGCTTTTTTTAAGAACTTGTCTGGGGGCTGGGCATCTACAAAAAGGGACCATACTATACTGAGTGTGGAGAGATGACAGATGGCTGTTGGTGA